GCCAATTGCACTCTGGGACATGGGTCTCTGTTTTTAAAGCTCTGAAGCCCTCACTTTTTTAAGGCCTTGCTGCTGCATAGAGCAGTGATGATAAAATGCTTGAGATAGTCGAATCTTTTTATGATATTTTTCCCATTTCCCACTTTTATTTTTAGAGATGGGTCCTCACTGTGTTGCCCAGTCTGGCCTTGAATTCCTAGGCTCCAGCGATTCTCCTGCTTTGCTTCCCAGGTAGCTGACGCTAAGGGTGTGGGCACCCGCCGCATCTCCCACTTAAAAGACCATCTTGTACAACTCGCTTTGCAAACCCTTTCTTCTGGGGGGGTGGACTTTGCATCCTCAGGGCTGTCGCTGTGCTGAGGCCAGGCCTCCTGTCCCCCTGCCCTGTGCAGTGAACCTTCCAGCAGGACATCAGCGTGGGAGGGGCCGGAGTGCACCCTGGCTGGAGGAGCCGGTCTAGTGAAGGAGACAGAAATAACAGACGCCTGTGACTCAGGGTGACAGACTGGCACGAGCCCTGCTGCGGGGAAGATGCACCTCCTCCTCCCCTGGTCCAGCAGAGAAGGCAGAGCGGGTGCACCTGTCCCTCCCCGAGGACTGCGAGGGAGGCGCACATAAGGGACTTGTTGGCCTGATCCTCCCGAAGCAGAGTCGGTGAGAACTAAGCATCAAGGAGCTGCGAGCCGCTCACACTGCGTGTGACACAGGACATGCAGACCCTTCTGGCCCAGTGTTTGTGGCAGTCACCCCGTCACCCCCGGGCAGACTTGTGCCTGGCCTGGTCTTCTGAGCACACCGACTCACAGGCACGGCTGCTCTTGCTGGAAGCTGGCTTTCTTCTCTTCCGCCTCCTCGATGGTGACACGCAGGTCACCGAGCTTGGGGCCAGGCAGAGTGGGAGCCTTTCAAGAAAGGCCAAGGAACCCGGGGTGGCTCAGCAAGAAGCAGGCGGCAGTTCAGGGTTTGTGGATGCGTCTGCTCCCGCCTGGTACCAGGGAGCAACATCACACACAGTCAGGAAACCCAAGGGAAGGGGACCACGCCTCAGGAAGGCCAGTGGGGAGCTCTGTCTCGGGGACACCGTCAGACGTGACCTGCTCCTCCAGGCCACACACAGCTCTGCAAAGGATTCTTGTTGTGGAAGGCACGTGGCTCTGCACACCCGTCCTCAAGGGTGCAGTGAATTCACACTTCATTGTGGCCAGGGCACAGAGAAACAGCTGTCATGACACCTGCGACCAGAGAGCCCAGCACAGGCTGACGGAGGCAGGAGGCTGCACCTGCCAGGAGGCCGCCATGGGGCTCGGGTAGCAGCCCCATCCCACTCACTGGCGCTGCCCTGAGGTGACTGCAACGTCTGTAGAGGTTGCCATGTGTTGCAGACTCAGTAACGTAGTTGCTACAACCTGCTAGAGATTCGTCTTCAGAGGCTGGCGCAGCAGGCTCTTTGTAATTTTGTTTAAATTACGGGTTTAGGAAGTCCTCTGCCCTTTAAATAAAGAGGACGTCCTTTAGTTAGGAACCTCTTTCCCTTTTAAGGGAAAGTCCAGTTTACTAACCAAAAATGCCCACTTAGGGCAGGTCTCTGGCTTAAACCCTCAGCACTGCAGAAAACAAAAGTCCTGTTAGCAGATAGGTGAAGAGTTACGCTGCCACTTTGCCTCAAACCTGTTCTTTGAACCTCACTGAATTGCAAAGAGAAATATTCCAGAAAGTTACATGAAAAGGATAGGAAATTATAAAGATAAATGTCAAAGTTTATCTCAGTTGATTTGAGAACATGGAGTTTAAGTTTTCCTTCATTGTGATGGTCACAAAGTCAAGAAATGGATCTCCTTCTCCGAGTCTGGGGAAGAGCAGATGTGTTGGCGGGTACAGACGCTGGCTGAAGTCCCCCGAAGAGGACATGTGCCTGGCAGCACCGCTCTTAAGGGCTGAGCTATGGACTTCCTTTCCTACTCCAAAAAGAGCATGGTCCTGGAGGTCGGCAACAATCACACCCTCGAGGACCACGCAGGCTAGGAAGAGCCAATTCCTGGATGGCAACTTCTGGTTTTACCCCCTGTCCCTCTCCCAAACTGAACCAGCACCCACGTGCCCTGAAGCTCCAAAGAGGGACATGTGTCCCTGGCACTCCGCCACACTCTGGCTTGTGTGAAGTCATCAGCTTCCTGTTCTTGCCATGGCCGAGGACGCTCATGAGCAACCGTGTTGGGCCTGGCTGCTTGCTGAGTTGATCCCGGGTGTGTGCCACTAGGTTTACACAGCTAAGGGAAAGAGAGAGACACCTCTTTTTCCTTTTTCAAAATATGAAGTTATAGCATTGCTAAAACAAAAAGCACAAGATTCTACTAATCAACCATGAATAGTCATTATTTATCTTTTTCCTATATATTTGCCATTTATATTTATTAGTGTACAAAACATTAAAAACTTAGTTAACAAAAACACTGTAGAAAGAATTGAAGATGAATTAAGTGCTGACACACTGCGCTATAACGAGTATCTGGAGATGACTATTCCTTCTGCATTAAAGTACAGAAGTCTCCCCAGGATTTCAAGAAATTTCCACTCTTGTGGTCATCTGAACCTATGAAAACCCAAATGGACATCTAGACGTTTTTAAACACAGGTCTAATTTTTTTCTTCCACAATAACAAGGTACTGCTGTTTTGGAAGTCACCCATCTGCACTTGGAAACCGTCCTAACCGCTGGTGGCCAGACAGTTTCCACGCGGACAGAAGGAACAGGGGCGGCTCCGAGTCTCCTGGGGACCACATCTGTGAAATCACCCTTCGCTTCACCCCTTGCTGAAGCTCGGGGGTAGATGTTTGCAGAGAAATGCAGTGTCAGCTCTGCCTCCCTCTGAGGGTGCTGTAGGGGGATGTGCGCCTCACACAACACAGATAGGACCTGAGCGTGCAGATGTGGTTACTTCACACAGTGCCGCGTCCCCCGAGGAAACTCTGCTCCCGGCCTATTCTGTCTCAAGCAGGGACTTAGAAAGTGGCCTTTCAGGGAAGAGACTGAACAGCCTGGCTCCAGGGTCCCGCCCTCCCGTGCGTGTCCTGCGCTGGCCACCTTCCCAGTGCAGGTGTGCGCGCTTCTCCGCAGGGGCCGTGGCCCCTCCCCACGTGTAAGCGTCCGTCCTCGTCCTGCTCTCCACATCGCCTAGACACGGAGACTGCATGAACTCCAGAACAGAACTGGAAACAGCGACCCTTTGCTTCTCAGTGTGGAACGGGAAAGAAAAACTTTTAAAGCTTCCCGGCCTCAGCAATGAACTCTGAAAATGCTATGTGAGGGCTGGAGAGGTGGCTGGGGGGTAGCGCTCTTGCCTTGCACGCAGAAGGCCCTGGGTTTGATCCCCAGCACCACAAAAACAAACAAAGAAGCAAACAAACAGGCTGTGTGAAAACTGAACTCAAGGAGAGCCTGCAAATGGGGCACAAGTGAACAGGGTTCGGGGTACACGTGAGGTGCAGGGCACTGAGGAGCACGGGGAGGAGACTCCTCGGCCCCAAGCCGGAGTGCCGTGAGAGGAGTGGGCGCAGCCCAACAGAGGCCCCCGACAGAGGCCCCGCAGCGACAGCAGCTCCCACCGCACGGCACCACCCGCTCGGTGGCCACGCTCACGGGGGGGCGGAGACACAGCACCATGCGGGGTGCCTGAATCCTGCTTGGCGTGGCCTCCTCCTGCAGGGCGGGCCCAGCCTGGAGCTCACGTGAGACCCGGAAGCAGCATGGAGACCAACCACGTTGGCAGGTGGCTGCCCCGGCCGCACCTAAGCTGCTCCTCGTGAGGGGAACTTGCAGGAGCCTGCACAGGGAACACGAGAAACTTGTCCTGAGGGTCACCACGGCTCTATCAGCACCACAACTGCCTAAAACCTGGTGACCAGCCGGACCTGTGTGAGCTGGGAACACAAGCAGGGGCTGTGGCTGGTGCTGTCACATCTGAAGGGACAGCGGCAGAAACATCAGTGAGGTTTGGTTCAGGCTTAGAAGACAGAATCAGGACAGCTGACGACTGCTGCCCAAGCAGGTAGAGGCAGTCCTTGCCACTGAACAATTCAGGCCGAAGCTGGAAAGTTACTGGAGAGGAGCGGGGTGTGGCGCAGGTGGGTGGGAGCCACGGACCCCCGGGCCCCTCCCAGCTGTGCCACCCAGAGGGTTCCCCAGAAAACGCGGGCCAACAGCTCAACTGCCCGGGCAGACAGCACCGAGGAGCCTGCTGCCAACCGTAGGGCCCGAAGGTGGCGGCTGCACTGTGACACCAGCCTCACACTTCCAGACTCAAGGGTCAGCGTGGGAGGCAGGCTGAGCCTCAGCACACAGCCTGGGGCGTGGACACAGAGCTGCATGCAACAAGACGCCCTGTCAGGGGCCTCAGGCCGGTCCCTCCCGGCCCCCTTGCAGCTGACCCTTTGCGGCGAGTGCTATTCTGTGTGGTCACATCTCTCCCTGTGCCAAGGCTCCCGGTCAGGACTGTACCATTTGGAAACACGGGAAGGACGCCATTTGGGTGTCAGTGTGTCTCTGGCTTCAGGCAGAGTCTGCACAAGCAAACAAGTGGGAACTACCATAAAGGTGCCTGGCACTTCATTTTAAAGCTTTCCACCTCACCCCGCTAAAGCCCCCACCCCCCAAAACCTTGCACATCTTAATGTGGATGCAGTTTAACTCCTGGGCTCCAGAGAGCAAGGAAATATGAGAAGTGGAAATCCTAGGGGACTGAAAGGTTAACGCTGGCTCCCGGCTGTAGCGGGGAGAAGAGGAGATGGTGTATAAATGTAAGAACCATACCTTCTGACATACAAGAACTCAGCAATGGTGCACTCCACTGACGCAGCGCCCACTCAGGCTGGGGACTGTGCCCACTGGAGGTGGGACGGGAAGCTCCCTGCTCTGGACCAAGGTGAGCACGCCCCTCCCGTGTCCTGGGCCGCCTTTCTCATGCCCGGAGCTTGCTCCCCCTTGGAAGAACACGCGAGCGCCGTTCTGAGTTAAAGGCCATGTTTATTAGAGTGTTCTTATTAACAAGCTCTCCCCAGCAAGTTCTGAGTGCGTCAGAGCAACAGGCACGGTGGCGGTGAGGCGAGGCAGCTGGCGGTCGGCGGAGCTGTGCCGCTCTCTCACAGCTCTGCTGCAGCTCCGCAGGCAGCCCGGGCTGGGCCCGCGACCCGCCTCCCCCAGGAAATGGTTAAGTAGAAGTTTTGGTTCACTGTGATTGAAATGTTCCGAGTCCGTAAGCGCACCAGCCTGTGACAAGCTCAGCTCGGCTCTCCTCTCTGCCTTGTCATTCTGATGCTGTAGACGGGAGACTCTGCCTCCAGTCCCCCTGCTGCCCTCCCCATGTTCTGTGTCCCTGTCTCCGTGGAGTCCCCTTTGGTTATTCTCAGCATCACAGTGTGCTGGCCGTGAGGAGCCGAGGCCCCTGCAGGCCAGTGCTGACCGCCCTGCCGCCCGGCAGTCAGAGCCCGGCTCGCCTCTCACACCAGTCTTGCCTGGGTGCTCTGGGGCCTGCACGGGTGGTGCCTGGTGCAGGCAGCAGTTCGGAGGTGGGGAGCTCTGCAGTGCGGGTGGCTTCCCACAGCCCTGCAGGCAGGGACAGGGATGCGGGTATGGGAGGTGATGCACAAAGCCCTCTGGGGTTGGCTGTGTGGCCTGCAGAGGCGCCACCCCGTTCTGGAGCTGGACAAAGCCGCCTGCGGTTGGGGCACCATGGCTACACGCGCTGTCTGCTCCCTGCTGGCAAGAGTGTGGGCTGCAAGTCAGGAGTCTGTAGGCGTGCAGGCAGCGGCACCGCTGATTGAGGGAGAAGAAGGGGTGTGTGGGGTGCGGCTCGGGGCAGGGTGGGAGCAGGGTGGCACTTGAGTCGGCCCTGGAGCTCTGGCCGTGCTCCCCAGTGCAGGCTGCGTGCTGGGATGCCCCCGGGCCCCCCACTGGGCTGCCAAGCAGCTCTGAGCAGAGGTAGGTCTCCTCGTGTGCGGTCTTCTCTGAGGCCGCATGGCTTCGGGATGCCAGTGGTTCCAACTCATAAAACTCACGCTCCCCTTCTGGCTTCTGGCCCCGGGGATCTAGGTGGTAGGCATGCTCAGGGTAGGCTTTGCTCTGCTCACCGGGCCCCGGGGACAGGGCGTGGGAAAAGGCACTGCACTGGAGCTTCCGAGGCAGCGGGATCTGCCCGCAGGAGCCCTGCGGCCCGAGGCACCGGCACATGCACTGGAAGAAGAAGGTGGCGAAGGCCCAGCTGACGCACATGACGAGCATCATGAAGGTGCCCAGCTGCGTATAGGCCAGCACAGTGGATGGCATCATCATGGCCCCGGCCACAAAGGTGGTCAGGGCGGCCATGGCGATGGCCGAGCCCATGCGGCTCAAGGAGAAGGTCACCTTGCCCTCCCGGTCGGGGTCTGGAGCCAGGCGGTATGCAACCCCGTAGTGGACAGCGAAGTCTACGGACAGCCCCACAGCCACAGAGATGGTGACAGACTCCAGGACATTTAGTTCCCAGCCCAGCAGGACCAGGGAGCCCACAGTGACAAAGATGGTGCCAGCAATGGAGACGATGGCATACAGGCTGATGACAGCGTTCCAGGTGGTCAGCAGCATCACGCTGAAGGCCACGGCCACCGACAGCCCCATGGCTACGAGTGTGCCGTCTGACAGGCTGTCCTGGAGGTCGTAGAACTCGAGGTTGCTCACAAACCAGCCGTTGCCGAGGCCCTCGGGTGCGGAGCGCAGCTCCCGGGAGATCCACGAGTCCACCTCGCTGTAGAACTGGTGCATCTTCTCATAGGCCAGCGTGAAGAGGTGGGCGCTCTGGAACTCCAGCACCACGGCCCGGATGGTGTCATTGACGTCAAAGCGTGGCCCCGGCGTCCTGCTGTCCAGGTGGTAGCCTGTGCTCCTCTCCAGCTCCATGATGGCCCTCTTGATGCACAGCTCGAAGACCTCCTGCTTGTAGGGGAAGCTCCAGTGGCTGCAGCACGGGTACAGGGCCGGCTCGTCGCAGTCCTGGTTCTCCATCCACTGCTTGAAGGTCTCGATGAAGCAGCTGGTGAAGTCCTGCTCGTCTGTCTGGTGGAAGAACGTCTGGTTCCTCAGCTTCTGGCAGAAGTGCAGAATCCAGGCCTGGGACGCGGGGCTGGCGATGTTGAAGCTGCTGTCCAGCATCAGTTTGCCTTTGCTCTTGGGGTTGAGCGGGTTGCCATTGTCCTCGGGGGACACGCCCCAGACCACAGTGATGGGCATGTGCAGCTCCTCGCCATGGTGCACGCGCTCGAACATGAACAGCTTCTTGTACTCCGCGTCGTAGCGCTCGAACGGATGGGATGCGCGGAACACCTGGAACTCCGACAGCTCCAGAGAGGGCAGCTTCATCTTGGGGTTCACGCACACGATGTAGGCGCCACCCGCCGTCAGCGCGAGGAACCACAGGAGCCACAGGTAGCGGAACTTAATGACGATGCAGGGCAGCACTTTCTCAAAGAAAATCCGGGAGGCCTCGGAAACGGCCACGAGCAGCCGGTGGCACTTCTGGCAGGCCACTGTCCAGCAGCTCTTGGCATCGTACAGCTGCTGCTGGGGCTTCCGGAAGCAGCTGAAGATGTTGAGCAGGTAGCGCTCGTGCAGCACCACCACAGCTGGGAGCCACGTGACCATCAGGATGTAGTTCACCAGGATGGCGGTGCCCGCATACACACCGAAGCACCTGATAGCCGTGATCTTGCTGACGTAGTTGGCGTAGAAGGCGGCGGCGGTGGTAAAGCTGGTGACAAACATGGAGAGGGCAGCGTGCTGCAGGGCAGTGCTCACCGTCTCTGCGGTCTCGGCACGCGGCTTGTCATACTTGGTGTACGTCCACACGTCGCACAAGACAAACGCATCGTCGGCCCCGATGCCAACCAGAATGATGAGCGCAGTGAGGTTCATGAAGGGGAAAAACTCGAAGTCAAACACAACACGATAGAGAAAGTAGGAGACGATCAAGGAGCTGATGATGGCGAACATTGTCATCAGCGTGATGAACATGGACTTGGTGTAGACACACATGACCAGCAGGACGATCCCGATGGCGATGGCCGGATACACGGTATCCATCAGAAGGTAGTCCTGAAACAAGCTGTGTTTGATACCAAACTCGATCCCAGTGACAGTGGTCACGCCGTCCGAGGAGTTCCAGTTCTCAAAGTTGTCCAGGTAAATGTTCATCATGCTCTTCCCCTTCTCCGTGGGCGAGAAGAGCATGCTGTACTTCAGCGCCGGCGCGGCGTAGCCCGCCGTCTTCGGGGCCATGAAGTCCTTGTCCACCAGGTAGTGCAGGATCTGGTACACGGCGTTGTACTTGGTGCACTTGCGCGGCACGTTGGTGCACTTGAGCTGGTCCTTCCTCCGGGCGGCCGCGTCCCAGCAGTCCGGCCCCAGGGTGCCGTTCTGGTAGTGTTTGGCACAGGTGCGGAGCAGCTTCAGGGTGTGAGACACGTCTCTCTCGACGATGTGCTGACAGGACGACCTGTTGTTCAGGATGGCAATGTAGTTCCCCAGTGTCCAGCTGGGGCAGCAGGAGGCAGCTGTAGTCCTCTGGCAGAGGTCGCCGAACTGAGGGTGAGACCTGATCTGCGGGGAAGACACGCAGGACGCGGTTAAAAGGTATGGGAAAATGATAGAAGCCCAGTGACAGTCCTGGCCCCCAGGATCAGTCTGCACACAGGTGTGATTCCCCAAACCATTTGCTACTATGGGCTCTAAGTTACTCTATTCTGAGCTATAAACTAGGGTATGAACGAAACACAAGGGTGAAACGGGGGCAGCCAGCTCAAGTCTGGAGGGTAAAATTAACACCTGCGTGGTGAAGAAGCCTTTCAAGCCCTTATAAAAAGCCGGCTGGACAGACTGTGGAGCCTATGCAGGTACAGGATTAAGAAGACAATGGTCCATTCACGTGTGAAACGAATCTGTGGCTTACACTTTCTTCTTATCCCATCAACTTTTTGGTGGCAGAGGTTCATTATCTCAACCAACACGGCTGGAGGCACAGGAGCGACTCCCAGAGAACGTGGGCTGCGTTAAGCCCAAGGGAAGGTCTGCAAGAGGCCAGCTGCTGGGGAAGTGACGAATGCCCTCTGAGCAAGCCCGTCTGTCCTTTCACCACGAAGGACACACAGGAGGCCCCATCGGGAGGAGCCAGTTCCAGACACCACCCAGCAGGCCCCAGCTTCAGACCCACCTCTGCCTGAACTCAGAGGGATAAATTCGCTGGGTATAAATCCCAGCTACAACAGCTGAAACAAACTGAGACAGAAAATGCCCAGTGAATCAAAAACTGACCCCAGTACTATCCAAAGCACTGGTGTCAAGAAGCACGAAGATTTAGACTGAATTTGTTTTCCTGAAATGCAGACAGAAAGGGGAAAGGTTTCTGAATTAAAACATTATTTTTTTAATCTGGTTTTAAATAATGTTACCAATAATAAGCAGGCTCTTGATTGTTTCTTTAAATTCCTAAAAAGGTTTTCAGATTGGCAGAACCACCCTCCTGGAGCCCTCTGGTGATCGGAGGAGGGGGTGATGGGACTCAGACGGGCCTGTGTGCGTTTTCAGGGAGGAAGGCTCTGGTTCACACCTGCCCATCCACTCAAGAGAAAATACCCCCGGCCACCTCCGCAAGACGACTGAAACACAGTGATCTTTGCCCTCAAGCTGCTCGTGGGGTGACAAGCACACCCCTCCAAAATTAAATAATTGTGACTGAAGTCGGTGAGCAGGGGTTAAAGAAAGAGGAGAAAAAAGAAACCAGTGGGGCTTTAAAGGGTGCCTTGAGCTGTAAAACTACCGCTAAGTTAGAGATATTTTAAGAAGCTGAGAAAAGAATAAAGGGAGAAAAGGCATCAGCCTTTAACAACAGGCTTGGCCGACCACTGGCTTCTCCTGCCCTCGGCGCGCAGCTCCCCAGTACTAAATGCTGAAGGGCAGCCTGGGGAGGAGAGCAGCCAGGGCTCCACAGCGCTCTCAGCACAGGGGTCCGAAGGCACACTTCTGCGCTCCTCCCGCTGTCCACAAAGTTACCCCGGTCAGTCAGGGTCGGACACTGAACACCATCCTCTCCTCAGACTCCAACTTCCAGCAGGGCGAGGACAGGCATAGGAAGGAGTTCCCAGACGGGCTGAGATTAGAAAAACCCACTCTGGCTCCTCATGGCTCCGCGCCAGTGTCCCGGAGGTGTCCACGGCAAAAGAAGTGAGGAGAAGGCCTGGGGAGTCCGTGGAGGCTCTGCATGCGAGAGGCTCCCCTGGGAGGCAGTGGCATGACAGACAGGGCCCGCTCACTGAAGCCTGGGCCCTCGGGTTTGAGAGTGAGTGGCATTCATTCCAGTGAGCTCTGCAGTTTGAAGTGAGAGTGCTGTACGCACGAGCAGGAGCTGCAGGAGAGACCCGGCCTCCCCGGTGACCGGGACCCTCTGGAGCCGCCTCGCCGCCTCGTGTCTCTTCTGCTGTCATGGGCTGTGTCCTGCCTAGCCCGAGGATCACCAAGTGCTCCAGTGCAAGGCCAGGGCAGGGCCTCGCATGCTGTCTGCTCCAACTGCCAGGAAACCCAAGTCCTGACGGGCCGGAGCCAGGAGACTCAGAAAAGCTGGAGTGGCCGTGGAGCTCTCAGCAGACACTGCCACTGTGAGGAGGGTTTTGTTCTGGGTCCACAGCATCATTTGAGACTAGGATAAAGGGTGGCTCTAACCGGTAAAAACAGTATGAATTTAGTAAGTTAAGCCTATAACCATGCTCTCTGAGGCAGGCTGTGGGGCCTTGATTATCGCTTTGTCCGTTTGCTGATGTGGGGCTGGAACTGGCTGTACTAATTATTCTGATATCTTGGGTCTGGTCCTCAGATTCTCAGGGAGGACCCATGAACCCACTGCCGCCCCAGGGAACCACCACAGTGTGTGGCCGTGCTGTCAGTCGGGACCTGGAGGCTGAACTGGTCTTGTTCTTGCCGGGGATTAAAAGCTGAGCTCCCGCGTGGCCGTGCCTCCTCAGGAGCCACATAAACTCCCGGACTACACAGCCCATCTGCTCCTGCAGATGGTCTACACAGCAGGGGTGGACCCACGGCACGTACGACACAGCGGGCTGTTTGTGCCACTGAAAGCTCTAAAGGCTCGCGGTCACTGGGCTGGCGTACAGGTGCACCATGGCAAGCCGCCAGGAAGCCACGCTTACACCTTGCCGCTTTCTCCCTCAGAGCAACGCTTCCGCTACAACACTGTCCTGCTGCCAGGCCACCTCGATCAGCTGAGATTCGACAACGTTCTCTGACGAGCAGGACGTTCAGAAGCTGTACACAAGGCCAACTGTTCCCGGAGATCGTCAGGGATGCCCCCTTCTGTCTTGGCCCTAGGAAAAGCTGGCTGCATCTAAAAAGACCTGCTTGCTAGCTACCCCGCAGGTGACTTTGGCCACCGATGGGAAATCCTGCTTTTCCCCTCTAGCTGCCGGGAGGGTCGGGGTGTAGGGCCCACCACCAGCAATGCAGAAGACTCGCCCACACAGGCTTGGAGGTTAACCCTTCCCCTCGGCTTTCCGGGCTTGCCACCCACTTGGATGAACTACAGGCTGTGTCCATGTCCAGAGCTACCCGGCACAGTGCTGCTCCCTGGCTTTCGAGTCTTTGGCTCCATTCCGACTCTGTGATAACTCAGGGACTTATTCCAGGCCATGCCGACCTGCGTGGGCAATGGTATATACAGCAAAACAGAACAAAACAAAGTCGGGTAGGGTGTGGTCTTCACGAAAGCAGCACGAAGCTTGGTGGCGCAGGCCTGATTCTCGAGTTGGTCCTGATTGGTTTCAAATCTTGTATCTGACTTAGCATCGGTGGGAACTTTCCTCATCCATAAAGTGAGTAAATAATAGGATTTGGTTCATAACAGGGTCATGAAGATTAAGTGAAATAACTCATTAAAGGGTTTAGAGCACTCCTGGCCAGCACTGGACACAGGGCATTTATTAATTAATTCAACAAACTTAATCGCTTCAGAGAGAGCACCGAGGCACAGATCTTAGTGAGGCTCCGTACGGCGGGGGGGGGGGCGCAGCTGGGCCACCACATGGGCTCAGCTCTGCGGGTCAGCGGCTCCCCGCTGAAAGGCGCGCGTGGTCCCACGCACAGGCCCACAGTCTTGCAAACACCAAGTGTGGCAGCACACTGGCTACTTCAGAGTCATGGGAGGAGTATCATACGCCAGGAGAAACATCTGCAGCCCCCAAACAAGGGTTTGTTAGCTGCAGAAGAGAAAAAATATGGTAAAAAGAAAACTGGCCATGGATTAAGAAACTCTGGTTTGTTTACAGAGGTGGCTTTGCTCTGTCTGGAGTTTAACAGAGAAAAGGTGGCAATGACCCACAAGCGACAACTCCTTGATGGAAACACCCTTTACGAAGTGTACAAACAGGTGAAAAGTGGGGTAAAGTGGGAGGCCTGCAACCAGCCGGGAATATGGCAAGCTCCTCGGTTCCTGGGTAGACTCCTGTCAGCCCAAGGAGATGGCTGCGGGGACTGCAGAGCCCTCGCTACCTTCCCCGCCATCCAGAAAGCTTGGTGACGGGAGGAGGTGGCATCGTATCGTCAGGCTGGCTCCTAGTGGGGCGGAAGCCTAGAGGTTTAAGGAACCAGTGACTGATCTCAGCAGCACATTCCGGAGCTAAGAGCTCATAAGTCCCTTTTCTGCCCAGACAGCAATGTCACACGGCCTGCTGCATGGAGAAGCGACAGTTTCTGGAGCTGGCTTTGTGCCCTCCGTTCCTGACACCTCAGTTAGCAGGCAGCTAACTGCATCCTCAAGATGCCCGTAACTGCCACGGGGCAAGAGTAGAGAACAGTGAGTGTGGATTAGAGAAGACAGAAGATGTAATAGAAGAAAAAACAGCTAACTCCTAACCTACACAGGAACTGCAGAGGAAAGAGCGCCACGGGGAGAGAAGCCGAGTGGAAAGAAGACAGCACGACTTACAGACAGGCTCACAGGGTGCCTTGGGCCCAGGCTGCACTGCCGGCGTGTGCCCGAGTGCACTGGCCTCTGCGCCCCAGGACTCCCCCTGGGCAGATCCCAGGCCAGCTGGGAAAGGCCAACCAAGACATCACTGCATTTGTGCTAGAGGTTTTGGGCCTGCTTTACATACCCTGGAGTTATCTACGCTGCACATGGATTGAATTGCAGGTAGATTCCACAGGGTCTCCCCTCCTGCTGAGGTAAACACGACTCTGGAGTATCGTTCACCTGGTGGTAACAAAGAAGAGAACGTGTTATCAGTTGTTCATTCTCTGTAAGACACACACCTCAAAAACAATTTGAAGTGGGAACCACATGGCAATTTGCTAGCAGCAGGGAACTCTTTCCTTTCATAAATTCCCAGAGAAACTTTTCACAAACTCGATGCTATACATTGCCTTAGCACAAAGCCTTTGTCTTGGTGGCATGTCTTTGAGCCACAGTACGTATGTCACAAGTCCACTTCCGACCAGATTTTAATGAGGAAGAAAGACATGTAACAGCAAAGTTAACTGTATGCCTTCCTCTTAATTTCACAACACATCCCCATAATGTTGTATAAAATCAAAGGGTGACGTGCCAGGGCACCGATGGCAAACCTTTCGGAGCTTTCAAGGACACAAACAGCCCACCGTGGCATGCGCCTCGTGGGTTCACCACCAAGGCATCAGGGTGTCTCCAAGACAGACGGTGCAGATGCTCTCCTTGGCACTGGCGGGAAGCTCGCAGGTAACCGATGTGAAAGCAGTGAAGTCAGAGTTGGCCAAGCACAGAGAATGCTGGCCAGACCAAGCTCACAGATGCACTGCGTTCCGAGTGAGTCTCCCGGTACAACAGAATCTGAAAACAGCACTGAAACCCAGATGAGGGAGACCACTACGAAGCAGCCCTGAGCAGGACTTACTCAACTGGCTTTTCACGTTCACTTGTGAATCTGTCCAAGGTCTACGCTCCCTGTCTGGAAACTGGGGACTCATAGTAAGTGAACCTCTGTGAGTCACTAATCCCTACTAAAACCTGTAGTAGTGAATGAAGCCAGAACAAGACAAGATCATAGCCAAGGACACCTGCATCCAACCTCAACTAGATAAAGACTGTAGCCTCGGGCATTTCGCTCCTGGGTGGATTAATTTAATACCTTACTTGGAGAAGTCCTTGAGTGGTTCTGCCCTTCTTGAGTACTCCCCTCCCTTCTTCTGATAACCAAATAAATACGGAACACCCAGAGAAGGTCTTGGTCTTAGCCCCGAGAGAATCTCGAATTCTGTGAGAGGGCTTTGATCCTCCTGGAGCCCTGAAATCATTCCATTTGCCTCTTTTTATTTAGCTTTTGCCATACACTCGTTCAGGAGACTTTGGACCTGATCAGCCCACAATAACTAAGGGATATGATTAACCTGACACTCAGACTGACATGCTTGGGCGTGTGAGGCATGTGATGCCCTGGGAAGGAGCATGGCGTCTGCATGCAGATGTAGCTGTAGCCAGGCCCTGTTATTAGGGACAGCTGACTAGGCGGGAAGATTCTAGGCAGTCAGACAGGGCTGGGCTCTTGAGAGAGTCAATGTAAAGATAAAAACTCAGCACAACTGTGGCTGGAGGCACATCTGTTGGAGGCCAGGCCTAAGATAAGTGGTAACACCCGGCCTAGTAAAGTCCACTTACACATTAGTCACCTTGGTGTGTGACAAGACCCTCAGACTCACCCCTTCCTGGAAAGGTGCTGGCTCTCCATGTGCACGTGCTACGTGACTCGCTTCCCCACTGGACCAGCATCACCTAAGTGGTGAAACTTATGACCTTGTCGGTTGGTCACAGCTGTAACCCACGTTGTAGCACATGCTGTGCTCTATAAGGCTTTCCCAGAGAAGTGGGGTCCTCAGCAACCCACTCGGGGCCCTCCTGCCTCTCAGGAGCTGTTATCTCTCCCCCTCAGAAAATATTTCCCACTCTTAACCCCTGCTGTTCTTTAGAATTCATTCTTCAGTTTTGGGGAACACAAATGCAGCGTACCAGACATCTAGCAGGTTGGGAGTTATAATATTTCCCTTTTATCATTTAGAGGTCCTGTGTCATTTCCTCCATCACTGTCACAATCTGGTGACTGCATGCAGCTACAGCTTCTCTGAGCTGCTTCTTTCTCTGTGAAATGGTGACAGCAACATCTATTCAACCAGTCATGAGAATTCAATGACACACTGAAACATGGGTGCTTAGTAAGTACCGCTTTGGTCTCAGTTATTAAAAAATTTAGTATTTAGCAAGCAAAACAAAGTAACTTTGTTATCTAAAATACATTAACAAATTAATTGCTAAATTTACGAACAAAATTTAATTACAAAAGGTTTTATTCAAGGTCATGAAATTATCTTTAATAAATTCTTGTCTTCATCGAATAGCTACTATCCTAGGTACACTGATTTGGAGACCAAAATCAGCCTGATGGAAACACCTCTTTCACACAGAATTGAGAGTGGCGTCAGAGAAGAACCTGTTACCTTGAGACCTGGGTGTGGTGTTGACTGCGGAAATACAAACAAGGCTGTATTTCATCAAGTAGCTAACATGCTTGCTGGTTAGCGCACCAACCAACAGACACTGGTGAAGCAAGAATACGCTGTAGCTGAGAGAAAGGAAGCAGCCAGAATGTACAACTATCCACAGTTCTGTGTTTTAAGAGAACAGACAGAAAGGCAACTTGGACTGCTTTCTGAAGTCTGTACAAGATCCTGTCCAATGTACTTTCTTTCTATTGCTACACAGTGAAACAGCGTTCAAGACAAAGATCCAGAGACTTGGAAAGATCCAGAAACATTAAAGATGCACGCAGGTCCTCCAGCGTTCTAACAGGAAGAAAACATATTTAAAAGAGTTCTTCAGCAACAACAAAAACCTGAAACCCAAAGGCTCTGCCTTAACACTCACTCAGTGGGAGGCCGTGATTACCTGCCGCTCCTCCTGCTAATCACTGCGGCTACTCAACGCTTCATGTTAGTCTGTGTCCCCCCCCCCCCCCAGGGCTCCTCTCCCCAGCAGCTACTCAGTAACCAGGCTGCCTTGGTGATTCGGTGACATCCTCTGGGTGAGCAGGCTGCCAGCATCCAGCAATCTGTGACTTGTGGCCCCTGGACCCTCATCTCCCTGGGTGTCCCCAACAGGACAGGCTCTCCGGTCTCCACTGTACCACCCGCCCCGCCCCGTCCTTGTTCATCATGGCCCCAAGGCCCTGCAGCCCGGAACACACTGCCTGCCAGGACCCCAAGACACATGCTCTGAGCCTCTGGACTTCATCTTGCTCCTTCCTCCTTTCCTGTTGCTCAGTGATGAAGCAGGTGTCTGGATGGCCCTTAATACATGTTTTTCAAATGAACCAAACTTCAAAACATTTTTTTGATAATACGATAGATTAAGAATTTGAAATATGACTCAAGAGTTTGGGCAGGGTCAAGAATTTTATTAGATTTACATTTTCCTTAAAATTAAATCTAACTCCATCACCTTTTAAAATTTGTATTATAGATCAGTTCAAACAGTGGTTGACCAACCTAGAGAAGTAAAGTCAGTGTGCAGGCCACAATGCGTGCCAGTATGCCGGGCGCCGGGTGCGAGCCTGCTCTGCCCAGCGCGGGAGATAGCTGCAGGTCCTTCCCCGGGACACTACTCACTTGGAACATCGCAGAAAAAGCTGTCTTTGTGGAAGTTCCAGTCCACTTCTCTTTTTTCTCTTTCATAGTGATCATCTGACCACCGATCATCCCGATGGCTGAAATGGAACAATCTGACTTTCAATAAAGTTCTGGCTACTTCAAGGTGACAAGTGTAGGGTAACAGTGTGGCCTCAAAGGCACACGCTTCTCAGCAATTGACAGTAAGCCGGGAGGATTAGCGTAAGCAGCCAACATTCATTTTCTCACGTTGGAAAAAGAAAAGAAACATCACCTCTTCATCCTACAGCACAACCTTAAAGACCCCATGCTAAGCAACTCAGTGGCAAATGACCTGAGGCAAATTTTATGTTTAACCTTTTTGCCCCTAATATTTTTACATTTAACCTTTTGCAATAACTAAATCAGAATTCATTTAAGTAATATTTATGTAGATTATATAAAAATACATGATGATTACCTTTTTGCTTGCTCGTCTGCATACTTAAAAGGGTAATTTGCCAGTGTTGCTTTGTATCCGGTGTTTTTGACCATGTTATTCCACGTGACCAGTCTCTGGCCTATCGTCGTCCCTCTTGGTTCAAAACCCTAGGCAAAATGTCACAGGTTCCCGTGAGCTCATTTCATTCCAGGCTGAGCCCATCGCAGTGACAGCTGGGGAGGCAGTACTGGGACGGCACAGGCGAGGTACAGGCCTCAGGAAAGAACACGTATCCGACGCTTCTCTTCCTAACCGATGCCCACGCACTTAGGGAGTGCTTATTCTTATCTCATACACATAGGCACTGCCACGGTACCTCACGATGCTTGACCACATTTTTCTCATACTTCCACCCCAGGGGAGCATCTACTTAAAAAAAGACCACTGTTAGCAATGGTGAAATTCCTTCAACTTCTTTTGGGAGGAAAACACAATCAGTCTTAGAAGCTTTATGAAAATATTTTTATATGGTATGCTGATTCTGTAGTATATTGCTTTCTAGCTTAAACATTGAGAGTGAGTAGGTTCCCTGCCTTTTTCCTTTAGTTACTGCAAACTTTATTTATAAAAGACTGTTAAATTAGTGTCTCTCCAGGCGTGGTAGCCCATGCCTGCAATCCCAGCACTCAGGAGGCTGAGGCAGGAGAATCACTGAGTTGAGGTCAGCGTGGACTACAAAGTGAGTTCAAGGCTAGCCTGAACTGCATAGTGAAACCCTGTCTCAAAAAGACAAAAAAAAAAAAAAAAAAAAAAAAAAAGTTGTCTCATGTCCCTAACCTTCTAAGAAGTTGAGAATGTAGATTAGGCACATCCTTATATTTCAAAAAGAGCCATCTACTTACCCGAGGCTGGAGGTTGTTTCAAAAGAAATGGAATATTAAACGAGAGACTGCGACCTGCATTAAAATACTTCATTCGCGGCGATGGTTTCCACTACAGAGAACAGAGCTACCCTATGGGCTCAGGTCTCCTTACCAGCAGCGGATCCGAGAAGTCGGGCAGCTCTAGCACCAACACGCCCACCAAAGCGCAGACCACGATGAGCAGGGTGCACAGGCCCAGGACCACCACCGGCCAGTCGGCCAGCAGGGCTGCGTAGCTGCGAACAGAGGGCACAGGGTGCTGCTCAGAGGCAAGGCGGGACTTGTGCTGCACGAGTGCAAGTGGTTAGACCTGGTACAGGTGCTGGTCAGTGTGCCATCTGGTAGGGTTCTGAACACAAGCACACAGGCACACGCGTGCACGCATGCACACACACAGGCACACACTACTACAGAAAATGACAAGGTCAGTTTCTCTTCATTTGTTGTGATAAAGCAGTAGTGGTCACACATCACAGGCTACTGAGAGTCAGAATGTCTACATATGATAAGTCGTTTTATATCCACATCTACGCCCAGGACAGAGATAAAAAGCCACACTTCACAAATGGGAAGAAAAGCAGTTCACAGAGGATCTGCCCTTCCTGAAGGTCTCCCATGACGTGTTCTGTCCTGATGCTCTTCCTCCATGTCGTACTCTGACAGTTACATAAAAGAAATCAGCCTGTAAGCAGGTTCACACAGTGTAAAATCGGAAAAACAACCGAGCCAAACACTTCCCACAACTCCCGTGAGGGCGGGATGCTGGTCTGCTCCAGTGAGCATGGCACTGGGTCCTTGCAGGAAGTACTCAGTAAATGTCCCCAGTGAAGTGACACATGCCAGGCACCGACCACCTGTGCACCAGGCACTGCAGTCTGGGTCCACTTCTCCCTCACCCCAGGAACTTCTCTCATGCCGAACCTGCCAGAAGCCCCCCCCCTGCAACCCCGCCCAGTCTGTGCCACTACCACCACGTTCTGGCCACGCCTCCTTAGTGGCACACCTGCAGACCCTCACAGGGCACAGTGCCCCATGGAAGTGGACTAAGGCTCCAAATGCATTCAGCACCTGCAATCTTTATTTTCCTCTCTCATTTTATCAGCGTAAGTTTGCAGCACATAATGATCACATTCCTGTGGGGAGTCGGTGCATGAACCGAACACGTTCATTTATGCCATCTCTTCGTCCCCTTCCCATTTGCAAAAAGAAGAACTCAGAACATGAACTTGCGGACCACTCCTCTCCGATCTCCAGTGATGCAAGCCCCGCGGGCTGCTGCGACGTCCACTTTCGGGTCATTTCAAATAGGTTTCTTACTCACAGATTTGTGAATTATTTCTGCAAAACACGCAGTTGCCAATAAAGCTGTTGTCTCTAAATGTGTGAGAAAGCTAGTCTGTCTCTAGTTTGTTTACGTTCTGTTCTCTTTGTGGCTTGGGCTTTGTGGGTATATTTCCTTCAGATTGAAATTCTAAAAGGGAATTCAGTATCAGACTTGCACTGCGACTCCAGACATTTTTCACAGTTGTTCTTGCAGAGTGATTTCACAGAAACAGCCGAGGGACGCAGCTTGCTCTCCCCGGAGGGCCGTGGCTCCCTGCCATCCTGATCCCATCTGGGTCGCGTCCGCCTTTGGGAGGAGGCTGTGGCCTGGCTGTGCTGTCCAGGAGCCACAAACACCAGGAGCAAGTAACCCTGAAACACGTCTGTACCTCCAAGTTCATAGTGAGAGACTCACACAAGCGCTCCATTTCTATGTGAATCACAGCCATAGAACTCTGACTGGACTTTATCGACTGGACTCCAAACTCTGGATCTAAACCTGGCTAAGGAAGCTCGCTGTGGTGGTGCACACCTATAATCCCAGCGGTCTGGGAAGCTGAGGCAGGAGATTCCTGAATTCATGCCCAGCCCCGCAACTGAGCAACTTAAGTGAGACCTTATCTCAGGATACAAAGTAAACAGGGCTGGAGGTGGAGTTCAGCGGGAAGGCCTGGGTTCAGCTCCCAGTAACACATACACACACACCACCTCATGAAGGAGAAATTATGACAGACACGACAGGATCACTAACTGAGTGACTGTAACGAAAACATGAACCTCAGAGGCTGCCTGTGCTGCGTGAGTGTGAACACCCAGCGCCAGAAGGTTCGGCTTCTAGGACACACCCCTCGCTGTCTCCTCCTCCACCAAGCTAGAACTAGGATAAAGCAGCTGGTTTTGAAGCAATAAAGGCCCCTGCCTCAGTAGCTCTTCTGAGACTTTCTGCTCATGGCTTCAGATTTTCAGAGTCCTTTACATTTTAGACCTTTAAAGTATTAGCCCTGTGAGATGAAAACGGCTTAAATGATCATTTTTTAGGTGTTACTTAAACAGACCCATTGTCTTTCAGATCAACCAGATTTACAACAAAGCTGCTCCCACAAAGCTGCTATCAACACAGGGCGCTGGGCCTGACTGCTTAGTTCTCACACCCTCCTTTAACTTACCCACGTATTGCTTAGTTCTCACACCCTCCTTTAACTTACCCAAGTATTGCTTAGTTCTCACACC